GTAGAACATTTTGTTTTGTTTTTGTTGGCCACACCCAGTAGTGTTCAGGGCTTACTTCTGGCTCTGAACTTAGGGATCACTCCTGATGGGTTCAGGGGACTATATGGGGTGCCAGGGATTGAATTTAGGTACATTCTGTTGAAGGCAAGTACCTTATCCAATGTACCATCTCTCTGGTCCCAAGAGGAACACTTTTTTTTTTCTTTTTTGGGTTGCACCCAGCGATGCACAGGGTTTAGTCCTGGTACTCATCACATCAATGACATTAAAATAATTAGTAATCTTTTTGTATAATAAGTATGCATGGGAGGGTGCACAGAGATAATATAGGAGGCAAGACTTGCCTTGCATGCAGCCACTACACTGGGGCCGTTTAAATCCCAGCACTACAGAGTTCCCTGAGTATCACCAGGAGTGATCTGTGAGCATGGTGCCAGAAATAGCCCCTGAACACCACTGGGTGTGAGCTCCTCCAACAAAAAAGTAACCCTCCTCCTCAAATTATGTATTTGTCTAAATTTACTGAAAAATTATTCAACCTGTCCATTATATTTTCAGTTTTCACCAAACATGTGCTAGGCACAAATTAAAAACCAAAGAGGCAGAAGAACACATACTCATTAAAAGGTTCTGAAAAGCAGTATTTTGGAGAATTAAAAAAAAAAAGTCAAATTCTGCCAGAGAGATAACACAAGAGATAAGGCACTTGCCTTGCCTGGGGCTGTGGTTCAAATGCCTACACCACATATGATCCCCTGATCGGCTAGGGCTCACTTCTGACTGCTGCTGGGTATAATCTCCAAAACAAGGTAAAGGTAAAGGCCCTCCCGTTGATCGTCGATTTGCTCGAGCGGGCCCAGTAACGTCTCCATTGGAGACTTTGTTGTTACTGTGTCTGGCATATCGAATACTCTCGGTAGCTTGCCGGGTTCTCCGAGAGGGGCGGAGGAATCGAACTCGGGTCGGCCATGTTGGCCATGTGTAAGGCAAACACCCTTCCCGCTGTGCTATTGCTCCAGCCCCAAAACAAGAAAGAAGTCAAATCTGTCAATGAGCAAAGCAACTTCTGTTGTCCTGGAAAAAGCACAACAACTGAATAGAAGGGTTTTATTAATGATTAAATAATTTAATTTGATGTCCACCAGCACAGACTGACCAATAGCTCCCAAAAGAAGGAGCAGGGTTTTTTTTTTTCTTTTTTCCCTCCAGCTGAGGAAAAGTGATATAACAGCTTCAAAGTAGGTTTTTCAAGGATCTTGTGTGTAGTTGAGGAACATAAAAAGATACATTGCAGGTAGAGAAAAATGACAGGAAAATATCATTACTATGGCAATAGCACAGCAGGTAAGGCATTTGCCTTGCACGCAGCCGACCTGGCCAACCCAGGTTCGATTCCTCTGCCCCTCTCAGAGAGCCCGGCAAGCTACTGAGAGTATCTCGCACACACAGCAAAGCCTGGCAAGCTACCTGTGATGTACTCGAAATGCCAAAAACAGTAACAAGTGTCACAATGGAGACGTTACTGGTGCCCGCTCAAGCAAATCAATGAACAACGGGAGGACAGTGACAGTGACAGTGACAGTAATGAAAGTAAAGGATGCTAGAGTGAAAATGTGTTCTGCTGCCCAGTTGTTTACCAGCCAGCCAGGGACCTGGGGTCCTTATCAGTATAATATTGTTCTTAAGGTTCTGCTTTTAGCCCCGTCAGAGCGGACATAATGTTTCTAGGGAGCTTCTCTCAGGTAGAGGTGGATACATATCCAAACTACAAGCCTCAGGCCAGTCCTTTTTTTTTCTTTTTTAACTTTCCTTAACACTCCCATCTTTATCAAAATGAGTTACAGTGCAGACAGAGACGAATAATCCACACCTCTGTAAATGCATTGAGTCGCAAATTAAAGAACCACCACATTTAGGGACTGGATTGATTTCATTAATATATGGCTGGAGCGATAGCCCAGAGGGTAGTGCATTTGCCTTGCACACGGCAGACCTGGCCAACCCAGGTTCGATTCCTCCGTCCCTCTCAGAGAGCCCAGCAAGAGTATCTCGCCTGCACAGCAAAGCCTGGCAAGGTGCCTGTGACACATTCAATATGCCAAACACAGTAACAACAAAGCCTCCAATGGAGACATTACTGGGCCCGCCTGAGCAAATCAATGAACAATGGGAGGACAGTGCTACATAGTGCTAAACATTTTATGAATAAATGAAGACAAAGGATTATTTACCAAGCACCACCTGTGCGGCAAACATATTTATTTATCAACCATCACCAGCTCCCCCCATGCTCAACCACTTGAAAAGAGCGTTTTGGAAGATGAGAAGCAGAAGCCCTAAGAAAGGTGCAATGATTTCTGGTCAAATGAAGAAAAGTATTTTTTCACACTCCATTTTGAGGACATTGATTGTCTGTTCTTTTGGCTATACAACAATGGAGATTTGGCTTGGGTTTCATTGCCTTTTCGCCTTCAAACAATTTAACAGCCTATAACCACATTTTTTTCATTGAAAACCCCCACAGTAATTCAACATAGAAAGTATCCTGCAATAATATACATGCAATCCTTCCAGCCATCATATAGTATATAATTCCTTCTGGTCTCTTTTTTTCTCCAATCTTCCTAATCCATTTAATATTCAAGTAGTAGGATGGTAAAAGGTAGTTAGGAAGTGTAAAAAAAAATCATACTCATGGGTAAGAAGCAAACAAGCAAATTCTCTCTAAGGAAAGTTTTAAGTTGCGATAGCCACAGGGGTGAGGAGGATGATTCTACAAGATATTGGAATCACTGGTAATATACAGAGAGGCTCACGTGTCTAAATAATCTCAGTCCCTGAATCACTTATGACTGTCACTATTGAAAGCCTGTTGAGTCCATGGGGCTAAAAAGACAGTGCAGCGGTTAAGGTGCTTGCCTTAGTGCTTTGGATTCCCACCAGGAAAGCTGAGCTCAGCAGTGTGAAGGGAGGGAGGGAGGAAGGGAGGGAGGGAGGGAGGGAGGGAGGAAGAAAGGAAGGAAGAGGAGGGGGAAAAGGGAGGACAGAGGCAGAGAAAAGGGAATGAGGGAGGAATGGAGGGAGGGAAAAAGGAAGGGAGGGAAGAAAGGAAGGAGGGAGGGAAAAGGGAGTGACAGAGGGAAGGAAAAAGGAAGAGAGGGAGGGAAAAGGGAGGACAGAGGGAGAGAAAAAGCAAGGGAGGGAGGGAGGGAAGTGAGGAAGGGAGGGGAAAAGGAGGGAAGGAGGGGAAAAGGAAGGGAGTGGGGAGGGACAGAGGGAGAGAAAAAGGAGGGAGAGAGGAAGGAATGGAGGGAAGGAAGGAAGGAAGGAAGGAAGGAAGGAAGGAAGGAAGGAAGGAAGGAAGGAAGAGAAAGGGGGGGAGAAAGAGAGTGGGAGGGAGAAAGAGAGAGAGGGAGAAAGGAAGGGGTAATTTCAGAAGGTGGCTTATTCTAAACCATCAGGCCTCTTCTGACCCCGTGCCGACTTGATCTGGGCACCGTAATCCCGGATAATTTCTACGGGGAAATCCCTCCCGATAGAGAACGCTGAGAAGTCAAGTGCAGGCACAAGACCTTTACTTTAAAAAAAAAAAAAAAGCGTCCTGCTTCTCACAAACGCCTGTCTCCCCTGCCCGCCTGGGCGAACAGTTTCCCACGGCCAGCGCCCAGCGGCGAGGCCGGGCACCCACCGGGAACCCCTCGCAGCGCTGAGCGAGCCACGGCCGCTCGGCCGGCGCCAGTGACGCGACGGAAGCGCCTCCCAGGAGGCGCGGAGGGCGCCGTGGGGCGGGCCAGGCCGCGCGTGCGCCGTGAGCACGCACACACCCTCGGGGGCGTGGCTCCCGCCCCGGAAGCGCCCGCCGTTGCCTAGGGGACGCCGCCGCGCCCGCGCGCCTGCCCAGCCCCCAGCGCGCCCCCAGCCGCCCGCTGGTCCCGGCCGCTCTGCTGCTCCTCGGGGTCTGGCATCGCTCTCGGCGCTGGGAGCAGGGCCGCGGCTTCCCCGCGCTTCCAGCTTCGGCGAGTGCGTCCGCTTCTGCCCCTCACCCGCTCCTGGGCCGCCAGATTGACCACGAAGACCAGGTATCCTACCCGCCCCGCCCCCCTTCCCCCATCCCCAACTTCTGTTCTCTTGCAGCCCTCCTTCCTGCTTTGTAGAATTGCTTTTTTTGCAATATTTTTCCTCTATCTCGGGATGCGCGCCTTAGTTGTTTCGGTGGGAGGAGGGAGGTTAGGATAAGTGGGGCTTACATGGTATTAGGTACCCGAGAAAACTCAGCCAACTGTTTTTAGGCAAACCGTTCTGTGGCCTTTGTTCGGGGTCTGCTGCTGTTTGGGGGCTTTCTTTTTGATGGGTGTGTGGGACCAAGTCAGTGCTGGTTGGAGGGCTCGCTGGGGATGGGAGATGTGTGCGGAAAGTAGATGAAGGACCGAGCGTGATGGCATCTCAGTATCTGTATTGCAAACCATGATGCCCAAAAGTAAGGAGGGAGTAAGAAGGAAAGTGCCTGCCACAAGAGGCAGGAGTTGGCATGTGGTAGGGGTGGAGGGGTGGATGCTGCAGGGGGCATTGGTGGTGGAAAATGCGCACTGACGGAGGGAAGGATGTTGGATCATTGTATGACTGAAACTCAGTCGTGAAAGCTTTGTAACTATCTCACGGTGATCCATTAAAAATTAAAAATGAAAAAAAAATCAGTGTGTTGGGAAATAAAATTGAAAGCACATAATCAAAAATTGAAAACGGAATGAAAATGTTAATACCCCAGTAGAGATGTGCAAAGATTCACACTGCAATCACTTTTGAAGTCCACAAAATGTGGTTCATGGTGTTTTCTTCCTCCAGGTTGCTCTCGAAGCAGCCAAGAGTAACATCCTAATTCTTCTGGACTTCTCTGGCAGCATGTTGACTCTTCCCTTCGGATGTGTTTTCTGAGATAACAGCCCGAAAAGATTTGATTGGCTGGTGTTCACAGAGAGGTGGACAGTTAAAAAAAAAGAACCTCCAAAGGTAGATTGAAACCAGATTGTGAAAAACTTTTAAAAGCTGTTCATGCAAGGATGGGCTTTAACCTGAAAACCAGTAGTTCTGTACAGCAAATATATGTCAAAAATACTTTATCTTTTTTTAAGTAGAGGAGTCTTCTTCTCATCTTCAGAAATATTAATGCAACCGCTGATCTAATGTGCTGACTGGATTAATAATTTTCATTGCCGGTGCAGGAAGTTACAGAAGACCTCAATTCTATCTGCCACTGGGCACACAAGTATAAACAAATGAATGTCCTAAAGTGTTACTTTTTTACTTTATTTTTAATTAGTGAAAAGTAAACTTAAAAGAACATCATTGCTAAGAAATGAAAGCTGTGTAGGCAATTTGATAATTGTTTACGAAGCAATTGAATGAAATAAATATAAGTTAAACATTTAGGACTGATTTCTCTTTTAAATTATTTGTCCCAAATATTTCATTTATACTCATTAACTGATAATCCATATAAGAATAGAATCACACAAGACAAATATTCAAATATCAGATGCTTTTGACAGCTCATGCTTTGTAGTTGATGTCCAGAGTGAGATGTGAGTAGTTATTATGATTTTTTAATCAGTTCAAAATAGCATGGAAATGGAAAGAAACAAAAGTTTTTCGTTCAGTGTATGTAGTAAATAAAAAATCAGCACAGTGAATAGTAATGTTTGTTTTGAATTAAAATGCCTATGTCAGTTGGCTAAATTATAAAAGTTTGTACCGATACCAAGCCCTCAGCTTCAAGAATCTTAGATGGAAACGAGGAAAACTCAATGAAATGTGATTCACGTTTAGAGAACTTTGAATATGTTGCTTTGAAGGGGAATGGAAAATGATTGGAACAGAGGTGGGTTGTGATTCCTGTTGATGCGTCTCTTTGGCAATCAGAGTCTGTGAGAGGTGATATCTCTTCTCCCGCCACCAAGTAATATTGTTGGGATTGATCTACATAGAGTTCTTTTGGAAAGTGACATGTGGAGATTAGAATTCCAGATTTCTTAGTATTTTAGAAGAATATGATTAGCCATAAAGTTACCTCATAGTCAGTGTATGTTAGCAGTTTTAGTTGACTTCAGAATTCTTTTGTGTTCCGATTGCCGATAATAGTTTCCTAAGTTTGTATTAGATTCCTTTTTCAAGAAAGAAAGTGAGAGAGAATTAATTAGTAGATAAATGAACACCTCATGGACAAGTTAGTAAAGTTGTACAGTACTCAAGAAAATAAAATTAAAACCTGAGATCATAGTTAACTAAAGTTACTTTAAAGTAATACAAAACAGGATGCTTCAGGAAAATTACATTTTAAGGAAACACTTAATTCTGTGTATATGCATCTAATGTATAATCTTCATCCCAAATGAATTTGTGGTGATTTAAAAATGTATATGTAAGAATAAAGGGAAAATAATGGAAAAATATATCAAGATTCTTTGTTTCCTTTGTTAGAAATCCCAAATTAAACTGGATATGATCAAGCAAACAGATATTGAATTTGTGTTTCATATTACTGCAAAATATAGCAGCTGACTTTAGCAAAATGTTTAATCAATGACTGAAATGATATAACCAAAATTTCATTTTTTTTTCTATTTTCCCTCCTAAACTTTATAAATTTCAGCATCATGCCCTACCTAAAAACTGCATTGCCCATATAATGTTTCAGATTTTTAAGGGGAGAAAAATGCATTCTATATCAGGTATTTTCAAGTATTACAAAAGAAGGAAAGACTTAATATTATACCGAGTTTTACCATATATTCTCCTTAAATATTTTAAACTCTAAGAAATCGTGTTTATTTTGAGGGCGTTATTTTCACATTGCGAGGGATTACTAGCTGTCAGTCACTTAAGGCTCCTTTCTGGTAAATCAGCTTATGTGGTGTTTACTAAGAGCAAAGTTATATTGACATGATTTCATAATACTGTGTGTCTATTTTTGAAATACATATGCTCATATTTTCCAACTTTGAGATTCCTATATCTTTTTATCTAACTTTTAGCTCATTTGTGAATATTTGAATTGCATTATGGGATTGCTAGACAGACTTTCAGGCTTGCTTGGTCTGAAGAAGAAGGAAGTTCATGTTTTGTGCCTTGGACTGGACAATAGTGGCAAAACAACAATCATTAACAAACTTAAGCCTTCAAATGTAAGTATCTTTGTTAGATGTTTCATGTATTTTCAGAAAATATGTAAAGTTATCATGCTGTTTAAAAGTCGTATGATCATGTCTGAAAGCTTATTAGTTTTTTAGAAGAATTAAGTATCAGTAAGCTATAATTTTCAGTGTTCTTTATGCATATAGATAAATATTTTTAAGCTGAAATAATATTCTCAGGTGTCTTTTTTTTTTAAAAGATCCTTCACATATTTCTAAAAGATCTTCATGAATATACTAGGGTTTGTGTTAGGGTTTTTTTGGGGGGACATAGTGTTGCCTTCTTTTTGTTTCCTCCTTTACAGGAGTGAAAGGTGAATCCTGAAAGCTATAATTAGTTTTCTCAAAGAGTGTGGTGCATCTCAGTAATAGTGAGTAATTTATGTGGTAAATATATGAACACTTAAAAAACTGAAAAACAGATGCCAGAGAGATAGCACAGTGGGCAGAGCCTTTGCCTCGAATGCAGCCAACCCAGAATCTATCCCTGGCACCCCATATGGTCCCCTGAGCCTGCCAAAAGTGAACCTTACTGCAGAGCCAGAAGTAAGCCCTGAGCATCACCACATGTGTTCCAAAAACCAAACCAAAACAATAACGACAATAATAACCAAAAAAAAAAACCCCTAAACTCTATATCAAACTAGCACGTTCGAAACATGATACAAATTTAGATTGAATATCTAAAGAAAATGTACATAATTATGGACAGAATAATATAGATATGCCTTTTCCTGTCATGTAAGTAAGTTCAGAAGAGGTATTCCAGTGCTGCATGGGCATGAGAAACACGTTCTGTCTTCCGGCTCTGCCATCATTAGTGCCTGGGTTTTGTCCTCAAGATCTCCACAGGGCCATGCTGGTTAATTATCACACCTATGTTCTGTTTCACAGGAAGGAGAAAAGATCAGGGCCAAAGCCGTCTTACTGATAAGTCCTCTATAAAGAACTTAGCCACCAGCCTCATCTAATGACACTTAGACCTCACTGGCTATCCCTATCTGTAAATAATATGGCTGACTTTTTCTTTCAAGGAAGGGCATAAAATAATTTGCTGCTTACAAAAATAAGAGGGAATCCTATATATATATATGACAGGAAGAATAGACACTGGTTTAGATGAATTTTAGAATTGTGATGTGAAGTACATTTTATTTATCACTGTATCACTGTCATCCTGTTGTTCATCGATTTCCTCAAGCAGGCACCAGTAACATCGCCTTGGTCCTAGCCCTAAGATTTTAGAAAGTGCCACATTTGAGGCTCTTTGAGGGTCAGGAGAATGAGACCCATCATTGTTACTGGTTTTTGGCATACTGAACATGCCACGGGGAGTTTGCCAGACTCTGCCGTGCGGGCAGGATACTTTTGGTAGCCTTCCAGGTTCTCCAGACTAAGAACTAGATAATAAGAGCTGGGTTTTATAGTCTGAGTCTCTGGGTTTTGGCCGTTGATGGGATTACACGGCGCGGGGTGGGGGGGGGGGGGAGCAGTTGGTAGGCGTAACGCCTACATACTGGAAAATGGAGGATCTGGGTGGAGGAGGCCCAGTCCCGATCCGAGCAGGCCTGGAGATCTAAGCCCCAGGTCCCGCACACCTGGGTTCCTCTGGCGGTTCCTTCATGTGTGAGGCTCGTCCGAACGTGTGGAGAGTAGTCTTAAGCGTGGCTGTGGCTGGAACTGGAGGTCTTCAGCTGCTGGGCTCTCCTTGGGGCGGGGAGGAAACTCAACCTACCCTTCTCCAAGGGGACCTGGTGAGGACAGCCAGGCGTGGGGGCAGGAGACATTTTATTTAAGTAAAAAAAAAATAAAGTAGGGCAGTAGCAATAATACAGCAGGTAGACACTTGCCTTGCAGGCAGATGAGTCAGGTTCAATACCCAGCATCCCATATGGTTGCGGGCAAGCACCAGTAACTCCCACCAAGCATCACCGGTTGTGGGCCCCAAAATAAAAACAGAACCAAAAAAGTAGTCAGAAATATTGTAGAAATCAGTGACAGAGATCACACAAGGTAGTATACAAATTGTTGGAAATGGTTCTCCTAAACATGGGAACTAAAGGTGAACTTTACTGTGCCTAAATTGTGCTTCACTTTGGGCTGATTGAAAACCACTACTGCTCCACTTCAGTTTGCAACAGGCTCAGTTTCACTGCTGTTCAGTTAGAGATTGCCCTTCCTTATTTTCTGTCATTATTCTCTTCTAGATGGATGAGTTTCCAATATAAAAATAATTACATTGCCGGTGTATTTTTAGGTGGGAATTAGTTTGAGGCAGCTGGCATAAGAAGCTGAAAGTGGATTTGAGAGGTAATTTAAGTGTTTTATGGGGCTTCTCAGGTGAATTGGGAATAGACTGAGATACACAAGCTGAAATCAGGCAGAGATAAAAAAATCATAGTAACAGCTTTATGGAAAAGGTTGGTATTGGAGGGCATGACTTAGAGTAGTGGCCAGAGAGGATACTAAAGCTTTTGAGAAATCTCCCTGGTGGAAGGAGAGCTCAAAGGGCCGGGCACATACTGTGTAGGCACAAGGATCCCTTTTTCGCCCCCAGCATCAAATGGTCCCCAGAGCACTGCCAAGAATGAATCTCTGAGCACTGCCAGGTGTTGACCACAAGACCAAAGAGTAGGGAAAGGATTTATCCACACTAATTTCCATCTTCTTGGGGAAAGATCCTGCTCTTCTAGGTTTACTGAATGGCTAGGAACAAACAAGCCCCCTCTCCTCCATTCTCTCCTTTTCCCTCTCTCTATTTTCTCCCTTTCCTCTTTCCTGATCCCTCTCCCCTCACCTGCTTATTACATTCACTCTCAATTCTGAAAGAGATCCATTCTACAGACAAAGTGAAAAAGTCATTTTCTTCCCATGGAGAGGAATGCTTTGCAGAGTGGAGGTAAAGAAACTAGAAGTGTCATTATTATGAACGTTTATATGGAAACATGAGAAAAGAGATTATTTTCTCATTAAGGAGAAGCAATAAGAACAGCTTGAAAAAACAATGTTCAATGTAGTTTATCTCCTCGTTTAAGTGATCATAAAAAAATGTCTTTATCAGTCCCAAGAGGATGGCGGAGTATCCGCCCTACTTGGCAAAGGACTAGTATTGAATTAAGAGAAAAAAAAGGATATGTTTTAAAAGTAGAACCATACCCTAGTGTACCTCAACCTATAATCAGTTCAGTAGATCGACTACCAGGTCAACTGGCTGATAAGAAAAACTCATACTAGTGGCCAGCTGCCTTCTCCAGGGAAAGCTATCAGCAACAAGTAAGAAAGATTATGAAGGTGTATCTTTAGATAATCCCTTTTCAAAGGTGATTTTTTTTTTGGTAATAATTGTCTCAAATAAGTGCAAAAGATTTGGGCCAGAACCACTCTTAGTAGCCCCCAGAGGGACCAGTCCAGTCAATTCTTACCATACTCAAATTGGCAAACATAACATTCAAAGAGCAAAATAGAAATTATAGTTAAAATCTCTTCTGTTATCTCCAACAAACACCATGTACTTCTGTCCCAAGATATGGGCACTACTACATAGCTACAGTCTTCTTAGATATGGATGGGAATAGATTTCTTCCCTATACAGTATTGGTCTTTTAAAAGACTCTAGCTCTCTCTTTTTCTTTTAACTTAGTCCTATAAAATAATTAAAAAGCAATTTAGGCAGGTACAGAAAGTCTTAAAACTACTGATTAAGTGATATAAATAATCTTTAACACTTCATGAACAAGTTTCTACTCAGAGAATTGTGAAATGGGACAGCAAGCAAGAAGTTTATTTTGGATAAAATATAATGAATCACTATCACTATCACTATCCTCCTGTTGTTCATTGATTTGCTTGAGCGGGCCCAGTAACATCTCCATTGTGACAGTTGTTACTGTGTTTGGCATATCACATACTTCACGGGTAGCTTGCCAGGCTTTGCTGTGAGGGCGGGATACTCTCGGTAGCTTGCTAGGCTCTCTGAGAGGGGCGGAGGAATCGAACCCGGCTCAGCTGGGCTGGCTGCGCGCAAGGCAAATGCCCTACCCGCAGTGCTGTCACTCCATAAGGAGTTGAAAAAAGATGCCTGATTAGCGGGGCCTCATGGTTAGCCTTTGGGGTGAGAAGAACATGTGTTGGCTTGGCCTTTGGGAATTAGCTGACTGATGTACTGCCTTTCTGGTCACTTATAAAAATGGATCATTTATAAGGACACAGTTATCTAAAGGTTCGGTTTACTAATGTGGCAGCCTAGATGAGAGAGACTCAATCTGAGGACTAGAAAGTATTTTTGACATTAGCTATGATTTTTTTCATAATTATCTGTCATTTCTAGGGATTTAGGGGAAGAATGGAAGTATTTTCATCATCTTGAAATATTCTAATATCTTCATCAGTCAACCTACTGACCCTAATTAGACAACACCAAACTAGTCAGGGAAAGCCTGTCGGGTGGGGGATGGGGAACCGTCAACACAGCCAGTAACTCTGGCTTTTTTTGTGTATTGCTTTCCAATCTTCTTGTTTCTCTGTTAACTTTAGTGAATTAGGAACCACAAGCTAATACAAGGCTGTTTGAAGTGACTTTCCTAATTCTTGAAGCTATTTCCTGAGCCCTTATCTTTAGATCACTGTTTTTCAGCTGGGTGCCCAAAATATTCCAAAGGCCCACTAGTGAAAACCACATAAAGGGGATCACGACCTGAGATGATAGGAGGCAAACTGATAAGACAGGGTAGCAGCAGTACGAAGCAGGTCAGAAGGGGCCCCTGGTTAGAAAAAGGTCGAGAAGCTTTGCTCTAGATGTCCAGCCTGTCTCAAAGCACTTGCTCTTAGATTCTGAGAGCAGAATAAATTGCTTAATTTTCCCCTTACATTTGGAGATAAGAGCCTGGAGACTGCTTGAAATGGAGCATCTTAAGCTCCCCAAACCTGTCAGATATTCATACTTTCTGCCTCCCCACCTTTAAAACCAGTAAGTCTCGGGGCTGGAGCAATAGCACAGAGCGTATGGCACTTGCCTTGCACGCGACCAACCTGGGTTTGATTCGCAGCATCCCATATGGTCCCCTGAGCACCACCAGGAGTAATTCTTGAGTGGAGAGCCAGGAGTAACCTCTGTGCATTGCCAGATGTGACCCAAAAAGCAAAAAAAACCCAATAAGTCTTTTAGAAACATATTTAGCAATTAGAGTCTGTATTCATAATTCAATTATTATTTCCACGATTTTTAATTATTTTTGTAATTCTGTTACTATTAATCACATTATGAAAAATTACAGTGTTCTAGCAGGAAAGGTCTTGTAAAAAATGTTGCCGATTTTATTTAATCGTAATCATATTTTTTGTAAATAATCAGTTTCTTAATGAATAGATACTTCCTAGTCCAAAACTGGTTTTTAATTCTAAATTCTCTTCATGTTTCTGTGGTGTTAATATACTGTGGTGATTGATATTTTTGATTGAGGGAAGTGTTTAATTTGATCACTCCTTTCATTGATTTATTCTTAGTTCTCATTTCCTTTGAGAGGCACTTTATAAACTCCTTTCATTTAATTCCTATTTCCCATCATTCATGTTCTCATTCTTTCACGTTATCCAATTTTTATCATCTTGACCTTTGAAACAATCTGAAATTATCCTTCTTATTTAGTAAATAATTGCATAGTCAGTTTTTCCATAAATTTAAATTTTATTGAAGTACAACTGTTGTATTATTCATTTCAGTATTCACCTAGAATAATAAATCAATAAATGAAAATAGTTAAATACATTTTTGATGAATGAACTGATAGGCAATTTATTTTCTTTTTGGGGTGGGGAGTTATGATTAATTATACTAAGGATATCATTTTTTAACTGACTTATTGAAACTAACCGAAAGAATGTCTCAGAAATCTCATTCTGTTCAATTTTGTATTGATCCATCTTCAGGCTGTTTTAGCCTATTTCAATTAGATAACAATTTCCACTCTATTCTCTATGTAGTTTAGGGAATGAGCAGATATGTTTGTTTCTGGATTGAGAAGAGGAAAATTTATGTTCCGCCTACATTTCTGCGTCATATATTTTGTTTGATTTTGATTCATTTGTGTAGTTTCTTTTTCCTAATTATTTTAGATTATAGCTTGAGAATTGAGGGGAAATAAAGTTGATTAATTATTTCCTATTAAGTGAAATAGCAAGTTTGTAATAGGGAGCTTTGCTTTGGAAAAGAAGAGTTTGTGGAGAAGCTAGTGATTGTGGGGAAGCTAAGTAAATGTTTTAGTTATAATTCAGTGAAAAAAGCCAACTATTTAAAAAAAATTTTTCTTTAGTCACCATGAAATTACAAAGTTATTGATGAGTGGATTTCAGGCATAAGATGTTTCAACATGGATCTCTTTGCCAGTGTCCACTTCCCTCCCCTCTGGCCCCTCTCCACCCACATTTGCCTTCCACCCACCAGTCAGCTACTACTGAGAGGCCAAAAGCCAACTATCTTAAGTATATTTTTGGTGATTTTTTAAAAAATTTTAGCTTCCATACTCTTTATTGATATGACTTTAATGCCATCAAATGATTTTTGCACACTTAATACATGAAAACCCTACAAATGAAAACAGTGATAGACTTTGCAACACAAAATTGGGAATTTAGAATTTACATATTCTAAAATGTATGGTACAGGGAAATAACCCAGAGATATGAGGGAAGAATTTGGCAGAAAATAAATGCTGTCTAGAAAATGAAAAGAACAGTTTTTTTGTTTCATTTTGTTTTTGCTTTGGCGGGGAAGGGGTGGGGGGTGTCACACCTGGCATTGCTCAGTGGTTACTCCTGGCTCTGTACTCAGGACTTACTCCAGCAGTGCTCAAGGGACCATATGAGATGCTGGTTAATGAACCCGGTCAGCCAAGTCCTGGGCAAGGGCCCTACCCACTGTACTATCTCTGCTGCTCCTTTTTTGTTTTGTTTTGGGGCCACCTGTGGCAGTGCTCTGGGATTACTCTTGACTCTGAACTCAGGGATCACTCCTGACGAGGCTCAGGCAACCATATGGGGTACCAAGGATTGAACCTGTGCAAGGCAAGTGCCCTGTATGCTCTGCTATTTCTCTGACCTCAAGAACAATTTTTTCTTGAATGCTAAATTCATAATAAAATTGAAGCTAGATTGAAAAAGAAGAAGGAGAAAGAAAATTGGAAAGAGGAAGCCAAGGGCAGCTATGGAGTGTGTGGGGTTGCACCTTCCATTATTAGCACATTACTATTAAGGTTCTCAAGCTCCAGTGACTTCTCAGGGTCTCTGCCCATTTGACCATAAAATTCCTAGCAGCAGACTGTCAGTGAGCTTAATGAATGGTGTAAATAATTTCAGCACTTTTATTTTTATGTAAAAACAAGATGAACTGACAGGGGATTTTTTTTTAATATATGTGTTTTTTGTAATATGAAAAAAACTGGGGATAAGGAACAAATCAATAAGCATACTTATTATAATCAATTTATAAGCACACATTATAAACAAATTATAAGCATACTTATAATATTAACAAACATTTGTTGAGCATTCTACAATGGACCAGACATTTGATGGAGTATTTGTATCCATTAATGCATTTAATTCTTATAACTTCATGAGGTAAAGTTAATACTACATCTCACTGTTCAGAAAGCTATGGCCTAGAGAAGTGATGAGGAATTTAAACCATTAGAAACTGTTTAGGAATAGTTACAGTAACTCACAGAGGAAATAGAAGGCTTTTGAGCTAAGTGAGATAAACTAACAAAGCTTAAGAATGGTTATATAAAAATGTAAAAGAATCAAGAATAACTCTTGGGTGCCTGATCAAAAAAAAATCAGTGGTTTTCTTACCCAAAGGGAGGAATGGTCTTAACATAAAGTGCTAGAGGCACCTGTGAGTGTCTGTTTAAAGCATTTTAATTTTAATTTGGGGCTTGTCAACAGGTCTTCTTTTATACTCTTGGCCTCTTGAAGTCTCTTTGTCACACAGAATTCCACACCATGGCCTTTAAGATGCCACTTCTCTTTTTTATATACAAGATTTCCCCCACACACCCTTAAATACACTACAGACACACATACCGTCTACTTTCCCTTTGTACCCTGGGGTTCCTTCTTACCTTGGGGTCATTGTACTGGTTAATTCTTGAATAGAATATTCTTTATCAACATCTTATAGTTTTTTTTCAATTCACCCCTGAATTATCTGTCAGCCTCTGAAAAGATTTCATGTTTCTTACTAGCCGTTTTCCATCCTTCTGCCTCCTGACCCCAGTCACCTTTCATTTTGCTTATCACTACCTGAAATTGTATTAATTTGTTCCTTGTTTATTCTTTACCTCTTCTATGTTCTAAATTTGTGAGCACAGGGAACATGCATACTCACATCTAGACATTTAAATTAGTGCCTAGCACATGTAAACTCAGTAAATATATAAAAGACTAGAAAATCCTATATGTGAACTTACGGTGACTTATCAAACTACCTTAAGTTCATGATACCTTGAGCAAGCCCCAAAATGGGAACCAAGGCATACGTATCACGTATATCTATAACCACTAAATCTTAACGATGTGAATTCAATGAGATGCCTTAAAGTTTCATAAAGGATTTGGATTATTATTTTATTGTATTTTATTTTATTGTTATTGTTATTTTATTGAATGCTATTATCTCTCTACTGTCAGATTTTACAGTAGGAAAATTTAGGTACTCTTTTCTTTTAACCTGAGGAAATACTCATGTTTGGTAATGGCAAATTTTTATACTTTGTCTTTTCTCCTAAAGGCTCAATCTCAGGATATAGTTCCAACAATAGGATTCAGCATAGAAAAATTCAAATCTTCCAGGTAATTTAATATATTTGTTACTAAGAATTTGTGATTGAAAAATGATTGTATTAGGTCTATTTATTCACTACTCCTATTCTTAAAAAAAAAATTTTTTTTCAGAGGGCCCTGGGCATTAAAATATTTGTAAAACTACTACTGCTGGATTATTTTTCAGATTTTAGAGCTGAGACAAACTGATAATCTCACTAAAAAGCATCGTTTTATATGCTATTTATTACAAAAGTAAATTACATTCAATCCATTTATTTCATGATGCAAATTTATAAAATTTTTGAAAAAAGGGCTTGTTTCTTATTATATATTCAAGGGTAGTTTCTCTTAACAATTTTAAAATTTAGTAAAAATTTAATTTAGTAGCTTATAACATAATCATGTCTTTTGTAGTTTGTCTTTTACAGTGTTTGACATGTCAGGACAAGGAAGATACAGAAATCTCTGGGAACATTATTATAAGTAAGTATGCTTGTGAATGTTGTATAACTAGATGGTTATATCAGTTATATTTTGCAGCAGCTCCGAAGCTTAACTAAGGGGGCCAGCGGTTACTCTTGGCAGTTACTGGCCAACTATATTGGCCAACTATATTAGCAATTCAATATGACAGCCTGAAAATGCAGTTCTGGTGCCAGGGGCCAATAGGACCACACCCTGTGTTCTCAAAGTCTTCAAGGCTATATCCGGTGGTGCTCAAAAAGCCATGCGGTGCTGGGGATCAAAGCCGGGTTAGGTGTGTGCAAGACATGCACTCGAACCTTTACACTCTCTCCCCAGTTCAGTGATTATTCTATAATATCAGATATGGATGCAAATTACTTGCATTTGTTTGCACTTTAATTTGTCATATAGGTAAGGCATATTTCCTATTTTTTAAAAAATGGACAGTAATGATTCACGCTATTATTCAAATGTTCCAGATCCTTCATGTTCCCTCTCTTTTTAATATCCTGTTCTATCCTGCTACTTTGCAGTTTTAGATTATATACTCATACTTTATGAATTAGCACAAAAGTCACCCATTCTCCATAGCGTCATTGTTCTGTCCCTTGTGGTCTTAGTACTTCATTAACACCTCTATAATAGTAGTTATTGCCATCTTAAAGTCATGTGGTTAGAGGTGAAAACACTGTGAAACCCTATTATAAACAACTTTGTAAATCATGGTATCTAAATAAAAATGAAAGGGACCACAGTGATAGTAAAGCGGGTAGGGTGCCTTGCACGCAGCTGCTGACCTGGTTTCAATCTTCCGCATCCCATATGGTCCCCCAAGCACCACCAGGAGTAATGCCTGATTGCAGAGCCAGAAGCAACCCCTGAGCATTGCCAGGTGTCACCTGAAAAGACCAAAAAGTAAAATAAATTAAAATTAAATTATAAAGAAAGTCATATAGTTCCTTCTTTTGGGGCCACACCCGGCAGTAAACTATTGTTCCTGTCCTTATAAAATTTTTTTAAAAGTAGTTTTCTAGTATCTGTTAAAATGGAAAGAGTTCATGCCCATGTTCATTTTAATTTTTCAAAAAGTGTCCTATGACTAAAACTAGTAGACAAAGATCACTTAATCACTTAATCCCCATTATTCATCGATTTACTCGAGCGGGTGCCAGTAACGTCTCCATTCATCCCGGTTGCGTGCTAGCGTAGCCCAATGGTATCTGTTCGTTCTAGGAACATGCAGAGTCTCAAACCGATCATTCAGGGTCTTGACGAAGAAGTCTGACCATCTTGTAGGTGGGCGTCCACGTGATCTTTTGATGTCCCGTGGAATCCAATCAGTAATGGCTCTAGTTCAGCGGTTGTCTGTAAACCTTATTACGTGTCCAGCCCATTTGATTTTTGATGTCTTGGCAAATGAGACAGTGTCTCTGATTCTTGAGCGTTGACGAAGATCAGAACTCCAGATTCTATCTCTCATTTGAGTGAATCGTGATGTTCCAAGCATAGCTCTTTCGATTCCTCTTTGAGAGACCTGAATAGCGTTCTCATAGACAAAGATATGTACAAAATATTTTGAACATCGTATACAATGATATATCGCATTTTTATTATATAACAATATTCTTCATATCAATATGTGCTTGGTATAGAGAGAGAAAACAAAATTATGGCAAGTATAATTCACACCATTCATAAAAAAATTCTGGAATGGCATAGTTATAAGGGAAGTTTACTCTTATCGTTTATTTGGTTTGGTAATCCTTATCATGTTTCATTCTGTAGAGCTCTTAAATGTCATAGTAAGATGTTGGGGCTGAGAGATGTAGAGTGTAGAGTGCCAGTCTGGGCTAAGTCCCTGGCACCACACTGTTCAGAGAGCGAGCGGTGGCTATAGGCCTGGAGGTTCCCATGCACTGCCGGTCACCCCTGTGTTCTCCAGCACCACATACCCAAACAACACCATCCCTTGGACTCTGGCATTGAAACCCCTCCCTGGTTAGCCAAGGATCACAGGGAGTGACCTGCAGGCCCAATCAGCACCACTTGGAAGGCCCCCTAAATTTAAAAATGTAAAATAAATGATACATGAAAATATTTTTAAATTATTTCTCATAAATACCACTAACAATTAATTGCCATTGTTGTTATGTCTCTTTAAAAACATACAATTTACTCTTCATAAAGGAGAAAAGGGTCTTCTACATTATGAATCAAATATAATTTTTTTTTTTCTGTTTTGGGTCACATCCGGCAATACACAGGGGTTATTCCTAGCTCATGCACTCAAGAATTACTCCTGATGGTGCTCAGGGGACCATATAGGATGCTGGGAATCGAACTCAGTTCTGCTACATGCAAGGCAGACGCCCTACCCACTGTGCTATCGCTCCAGCCCCCATATATAATTTTTTTATCTTGCCCTTTCAGCTGATCTTCTATGTAAAGGTCACTGTCACTGTCCTCCCATTGTTCACTGATTTGCTCGAGCGGGCCCAGTAATGTCTCCATTGGAGACTTTGTTGTTACTGTGTTTGGCATATTTAATACATCACGGGTAGCTTGCCAGGCTCTGCAGTGCGGGCGAGATACTCTTGGTAGCTTGCTGGGCTCTCCAAGATGGGTAGAGGAATCGAACTCGGGTCGGCCATGTTGGCTGCATGCAAGGCAAACGCCCTACCACTGTGCTATCACTCCAGCCCATGTAAAGTAAATGAGGAAAAATTTACAAAGCATATAACAATAGCATCTGCCTATTATTTTTATAACTGTAATGAAATTTGTTTAATCATTTCTATGTCTTTGTAAATAAGGTCTAGTCTCAGTCTTTGAAGGTTATAAACAGTCCTTCAGATAATGTCTTGCCACATTATAAATTGTCAGATTTCATGTTTTTTTAAAGTAAATTCCAGAAATGAAATTACTGGCTCCAAGGTGATGGTACTTTTTTAAAGACCTTGGTAGATACTTCCAGTAATACCAGTTTCTTTATTGTCTAGTAATGTATGAGTGTGATGACCAACATTGTTTTGGGGGGGGGTCTCTTGAGTGGTGCTCAGGAGGCCCAGGGAACCCCCCCCCCACACACCCTGCACCCAGCCCATGCACTACTCTGCTAATTGAGCAGGTGGTTCAGTGTGAGGATCTAAGGATGTGATGCTAATTGGGCACAGTGCCAGGGATGCCCTGCCATCCCAGCTTTGCAGGGGGGCTTCCAGGCCACACCTAGTGGTACTCAGAGGTCTCCAAGACTAAAACCAGAGATAGCGGGGAGACTTCATGGTGGTTTGACCAAGCATCAGCCCCGACTCCTGCATGTGCCAGTCAATGGCCTCCTCTCTGTACTGTCTCTCACGCCCTATATTCAGTATTTTATGTTAGGAAAATGATACTATAATGTTGTTTTATTCTTCTACTCAGGTGGTTATTGATAGTGAATGTCAACATCTTAGTTTATGCCTTGGATCAGTGGTTCACCAAAAGAAAGTGCAGATATCCAGTAAATATGTGAAAACAGTGAACTTCACTAGTTATTAATGAAATACAAAGTAAAATAATATGCTCTTTGAATGTTAAAATTCAAGAAAAATGGTAATAACTATATTAAGAAAGGAATGGGGGAAGTGCTGGTAGAAATCTATGAATATTGAAGAGCAACATGACAGTGGGAGACAGGGCAGTAGTACAGTGGGAAGGGTGTTTACCATACCAGGTTCAATTCCTGGCATCCCATATTGTCCCCTGAGCACTGCCAGGAGTAGTTATGGAATATAGTATCAGGAGTAACCCCTGAGCATCGCCGATGTGGCCCAGAAACCAAAAAATAAAGGGAAAAAAACAGTATGAGAATTTATGTAAAATTTTAAAATTGTTTATGTTGTGTAGAAACTTGATTCCTAAGAGAAATTTTGTTTTGTTTAGTTTGGGGGCCTCACCCAGCAGCGCTCAGGGCTTACTCCTGGCTTTGCTCTCAGGAATTTCCTGGCAATGCTCAGGGGACCGTATGGTATGCTAGCAGTTGAGCCGGCAAGCACCCTCCCTGCTATACTATCTCTCCAACCCTGAGAGAATTCTTTTTCAGTTGGTCAGGGTTTGCACACCCAATGCCTCACACACGCAAGACATATAAGAACACATCTTAAAGGGTCAAGGAGATCACTCGAGTAGGTAGCTCAAACATGGGTAGGCCCAGAAGTCATTCCGTAGCCCCACATGTCCCCCAACATCTAAGAGCACTTCTAAAAGTGTCAAGAAAATGATTCGAGGTGTGGTAGTTCACGGCAAGTAGTGAGGAGGCCCAAAATGTATCCCCCAGCTCCACATTCCCCTCCAGTGTCCTGGAGTGTGCCCACCCCTAAAATTACTGTGAAGTGTGACCCAGGTGGCCACCGTACTCCTCACTCGAGTGCAAACTGTCAGGCTCGTAGTGGCCCCAGGACACTGAGGACTGCTGAAGAGGCCCCTATTTAAAACTTTTTTTTTTCTTTTTGGGTCACATCCAGCGATGCACAGGGGTTACTCCTGGCTCTTCACTCAGGAATTACTCCTGGCAGTGCTCGGGGGACCATATGGGATGCTGGGAATCAAACCCGGGTTGACTGTGTGCAAGGCAAACGCCCTACCTCCTGTGCTATCGCTTCAGCCCTTAAGTGCCAAGAAATATTTAAAGTGTAGTTAGAAGGTTGTTTATCCCCATTTCATAATAATGAAAACTAGAAATAATCTAATAGTCTCCCAACAGTAGAATTTCAACACAATAGCTGATGACACTTCCAAGGAATGGAATACTTTATAGACATTCAAGGAAAGGTACCGAGAGAATCAGGCATGTTGAAGTGCTTCTGTGAGCTTATAGTGAGTCTTTAAGCCAGCTTTAAAAAAATCAAACAGAGCAAAATTAAAGTCATTTGCAAGTTTATTTCAGGAAACTTTGTGGAATGGATTTACGTATGCTTTTGTGTCTACTCTGTGCTTTTCTCGCTTATGGTATGTTAGCAAATATTTGAAAAATGCTAGTATAGACCTATGATATTTCATTTAAAATTGTTTTAAACTGTCCTATAAACAAAATATGTTAGAAGAGCAGAATATAAACAGCGAGATTCTATTTACACACAGATGTAATATTCATATGTTGATGAGCACGAAGGTGTCAAAATTGATTCTTTAGAAAATAATGGCAGTGATTTCATCTGTATGTGGGTATTGGCATAATAAAATTACAAAATTATTTTAGCATTTACCCAAATTTCAAAAAATTAACGTACATGAGCTATCACTAGTGACTAGTATATTAATCACTCGTATAAACCTGTAAGAAACAGCACCAAAACCTGCAATAATAAATGGATATAGGGCATAAGTAAATAATACTCTTAGTTAGGAGATATATGTTGACAGTAAAAATGGACATATGTAAAGTTTATCTTTTAATTTTCTTATATAGAGAAGGACAAGCCATTATCTTCGTCATTGATAGTAGTGATAGATTAAGAATGGTTGTGGCCAAAGAAGAACTTGATACTCTTCTGAATCACCCAGGTATGTGCGTGATCTTTCATTCCATGGCATGAATCATCGAACCTTTGTTGTTTTTTGGGGTTTTTTTTTTGTTTGTTAGTTTTTTTGCTCTTTTAACAAAAAGTGTTGTTCCCACTATATAGCTAGCTTTTATTTAATTTTTTTATTTTAAACTACTAATTATGAAAAATGTATAAAATTACAAATATGTAGTTTTCTTTTACCTTCAATGTTTTAACATTTTTAACTCCTCTCACCTTTATTTGCCCCCAGAATACTTGGTTTAAACATACAGTTGAGATTAAACATACAGTTTACAAATACATTCATATAATTATTCTCCTTGTCAAAAAAACAGAACTTTTCATTGCCCCAGAAAGATTTCTGCTTTGTCTAATAACAGTGTTTCTCCAAGTGGGTGAAATTGCACCATTCTAGAGGGGAGTTGCCTCTCGTGCAATTAGGGGGCACTTTTCTGATTGTTCACATAAAGAAGATGGTTTTCAGGACGGGGTGCCAAGGGATTTTTTATTTTCTGATAAGGGGAAAATAGGCCAAGTAAGTTTGGGAACTTCTGAGATGCCAACTTTCTCATGTTCAGAGTATGTGTTGTAAACATCAAATAGTTGTGCTTGCTTTATTATACATCCTGATGTTCTCAGCTCCAGGATAAATTCTAGTTATACTAAATTTTTAAATAGAAATATTACACCAGTGATTTTCAACTGCTAGTCTATGAGCTGGTGTTTGCATTTTGGCAGACCAAAATGATTGAAAACCACTGGGGCTTATTAACTGCTGGGACTGGTTCAGTCCACAGATGAAAAGAGCTTGAAAACCACTGATTATTATCAGAGCAATAGCAAAACTCACTGGGAATTAAAAAACAATCATGGAGGGGGGGCAGAATAAAACCTTTCTAACTCTTAACAGCAACAACAACAAATTTTAAAAGAAATGATTGACAAATGCAGCTGCCTAAAAGTTTTGTGGTTGGAAATAAACCCAGAGCAGGCAAGCAGGAGAAAGTACTTATAGTCCACATCTCAACTACAGGACTTACCTCCTCCTTAATATGTTCCTGCAATTCAGTAAGAAAATTGAAATTGAACAGGAGGCTGGACTAGAACTCAAGAAAGCTATGTGGGGCCTGGTGCTCCCCCACCAGCATCTCAAGAAATCCGAAGCCCTGGAGACCCCTGAGCACCTCCAAGGTGTGGCTCTCAAGGCCTCCAGCACCACTAAACTAAGCCCCCCCAGGACTAGTCTAAGTATTATCAGGCCAGAATCCCCAGCTGCATATCAAAAGAAGTGGCCCCAGACCCCTGAATGCAGTTGGGTGTAAAATCCCTATTTAAAAATGAACTACTTGGTAGGAAAATGGGGAGTGGAAATGACGCAGTAGTTTATTTTAAAAAGGAAATGAAAATGCCTTTTGAGTTCATGAAGTTTGACCTTCCTTTTTTACCTATCACCTAACGCACAGGTTCCCAAGTTTATTTTCAGTCTACCCTGGAAACCTTCCATCTGTGAAAACAGAAAACGAACCCCCAGGCACCTGGAACTACCCCCCACCCCTCTGGATAGTTCCTGCAGGGGGGAGAGACCATTTCGCCCACTTTGGGGAAAGATTAAAAACCGAGCATGTAGGAAAGATAAAACATAATATAATGCTCTTTTGGCAAGGGCAGGGGTAGGAAAAAAAATCATTCGTGCACACTGTTATTGAAGTGTGAAAATTGATCCAGTTTTTCAGGAAAGGCAGTTTGGCAATCACTTTCTATGAGAATAGCAATTTCCATATCTGTTGACCCAGCAAATCTACTTCTCAGGTTTCTATGTACTGACCATGTATAAAATGTCTTATATGCAAGCTGTTTATTTATTACAGCATGCCCAACAGCACATATATCTTAGCTAGTATTTGTTAAATTATGGTGTTCACTGTTAAAGTACTACTCCACAGCTGTTAAAATAAATGATGAAACCACTCATAATTATGGTGTAGGACTCTTTTTGAAACATGAAATACAAGTGAAAACCAATAGTTGTGTATGGAATAAATAATGTGTTGTTGTTGTTCATTGTTGTTTGTTTGCTTGCTTGGCCACACATGTCGCAATATTCAGGGCTTCTGATGGGGCTTGAGAGACCCTATGCGGTCCAGTGATTAGACCCACAACTGCTGGATGCAAGGCAAGAGCTTTGCCTGCTGTACTATTACTCTGTGCTGTGTATTTGTTGTTTTTGAAACATTGTGAAAAATTTTCTTTAAATATGACATAGAGGGGTTGGAGTGATAGCATAGCGGGTAGGACGTTTGTCTTGCACGTGGCCAACCCAGGTTTGATTCCCAACATCGCATATGATCCCCTGAGCACCACCAGGAGTAATTCCTGAATACAGAGCCAGGAGTAACCCCTGAGCATCGCTGGGTATAATCCAAGAAGGAAAAAAAATGACATAGATACTATACATTGGCAAATGCTGAAAGGAAGGTGGTAAAGAGATCATTTTACTGTATACCATTTGTGTTTTCTGAATTTTGAACTATTCAAATGTATTTACAGATTCAAAACTGAAAAATTTTCCAAAATTGTCACAAGGCAGAAATAGCTTGTTAAACTGTCTAGCTTTATCATAGACAATACTGGGACTAAAACCTAAAGGCAAGACCCAGTTAATCTTCCTTGTACATTAGTTAGCAGTTTATCTCCTTTCTATTGATAGTACAAAGAAGACAGAAAATATTCGACCATTTCATTGCTTCTGCTCAGAAATTTCTTAATGAGACCCCTGCCAGTTTTCATTTTAAACAGAATAGTTATGGTTAGAAATAATTTTTAAAAACTCTCTTCTTGACAGCATATCCTTAAATATAGAGGAATGTGTAATAATAAAAAGATTAGAAAATAATTGTGGTGGATTTCAATTTTAAATAGGGGAAGTATACCCTAAAATCTTGAAGAGTGATGGTAGTTTTTATTTTCTTTTTCAGATATTAAGCACCGCCGAATACCAATCTTATTCTTTGCAAACAAAATGGATCTCAGAGATGCAATGACATCCGTAAAAGTGTCTCAGTTGCTTTGTTTAGAGAACATCAAGGATAAACCATGGCATATTTGGTAAAGCTTTCATTATATTTGAAAACAAATCTTCGAACTTTAGGGGTTTTTATTATTATAAGCTCATTTTGTAATCTAATATCCTATATTACATGATAACATGTAAACCAAAAGCTTCTTGTTCTATAGAATTGTGACATTGCAGTATTCATAGATCTCTTAAAACCTTTCTAAATCTTTTTGGTATGGGGAAAAATGTAAATGAATCTTTAAGAAAATAACTTTGAGATTACGGAGATGGCTTCGAGGCCTGGAGGACAGCCTGACATTCATGAGGCCCCAAATTCAACTTCTGGATACCACAGAGCGTTCCTGAGCACTTGAGGGGTTAGCCCTGGTTCTACTCTCATCCTGCTCTTCCTCTTCTGCCCTCCAGCCCCCCAAAACAACAAAAAATAGGTAGCAACTACTCAGTTTTAATTATGTCATATCAGATCTTCTGCCCACAATCCTTCCTTCAGGAGAAAGGCCTCTCCTGATAACTCTAGAAAATATTACTTTACCTCATGGCCAGTCTCTCCTCTCCCTCTTACTTTGCTTTATTTTTCTGTTGCCATGTAGATTCCTTTACTGTTTTTTATAGTCTGTCTTCCTTACACTAGAGCATTTGTATTGTGAGAGCTGGGTTTGGTTTTGTTACTCTGCAAACGTCTGGAATAGTAAAAATACCTGATACTTAAATGGTACACAATATTTACTTAGATGAGTACAGAGAAACGAAAATATTAATCTACTTGTACATGTTAATATGGTTGAACCCTTAACTAATTTGGGATTATTAAACATTATTTGGAAAAGGTGCTTACTAATATATTTAATTCAGTGTGTGTTTATGCCAAATAATTTCAACAGAGATGATCAGAAGTCTTATGTTACATATTATTATAAGTTCCTTTCTATCTTCCCACTGTCATTGCTATAAGATGCTTCTAGTTTTCCTTTATGAAGAAGGTAAAGGAAGTCTCTGGTGATCCAGGGAGCTCCTCAGGGCCTGCTCTGCGTGTAAAGACCTAGCACCACATGTGTTCCACAGGTACCAGGAATCCACCTGGGCAGAGCTGGCTATGACTTCTCCCCTTCCAAAAGAAAGTGGGTGGGATGCTGTTGTCCATTTTTACTGTTTTTATTTTTAATATATGTAGGGAATTTACCAAATATCTCTGTAAGACTTTACCATAAATTTGACTTCTCTTTGTTTCAAACCGAGTATATCTAAGTTATAATTCATGTTTTATTTCTTCCTTTTATTAATTTTATGACAGATTTTTAAAGCATGTTACCAGTTTTTTTTTAAAAAAAAAAACCCACATTTGTTCTTTCTAGTTTGACAAAAGCTGATGCTTAGCATTACAAAGATTTAAAAATAAATGTATCTAGGGGTCAGAGTAATAGTACAGTAGGCAACATACTTGCCTTGCATATGACCTGGTTGGATCATCCCTGATACCCCATATGGTTCCCCATACACACCTACACACGTACACCCAGAGTGATCTCTGAGCACAGAGCCAGAAGTAAGCCCTGAGCACTGCCAAAAATCAACTAATAAGAATAAAATATCTTTCTTGCCTAACTACAAGTAAATTTACTGAGCAATAAAGAAAAGATTTTAGAGAAGTATAGTCATGAAAATCAAAGAAAAATTTAATGGTTCCTTTTAACCATTGTACTAAGCATAACAGTCTTCTGATTTTCAAAGTCTTATTGCTATATTTTTTCCTGTATGTTCTCTGATTAGACCTTTAATGAAATATATCAGTATGTATATATGTGTATAGATAAGTAAATAGCATGACTATTATGTATATATGTACCTCCCCCACTATCTTGTGAGAGAGATAGATAGACATATGTGTCAGCAGGGAGGATGAAGAAAAATGAAGACCAGAGAGACAACACAGCAAACAAGAGTGCAGGCATTGCATGCAGGACACCCTGGTTCAGACACCTGGCACCCCCCTGGTCCCCTCAGCACTATTAAGAGCAACCCCTGAGCACAGAGCTGCAGATAGTCCCTAAGTACTGTGGATGTGGAAATGAAGGGAATAAGGGAAAGGAAGGAAAGGGAAGGAAAGGGAAGGGAAGGGAGAAATGGTTTACTTAATTGTAAAATAAAATTGTTGTTAATGATAGAGAAGCCAGGCAGTGAAAGAACTTTTGGACAAAAGTCTGTCTGGTATGGACCAGAGGAGATAGTAGAGGGGTTCATTTCCTGGTCTTGCACGCTGCAGCCTCTACTTTAGAACCCAGCATCACTTGCCCACCCAGCTGCTCCTCCAGCACTACTAGGAACAACCACGGAGCACAGTGTGTCAGGGTGTTCCAGGCTACTGAAGCAGGGATATCTAGGGGAAAATTGTAAGCGATGAGGCCCCTGAGGAATAACCAGGGATTCTTCACACAGGGCCTTGTAGGCTCTGTGTGAAGAATTTGGTCTAGAGGCCACGCACACTTGCTGCTGTTCCATGCTTCCTCCTTACTCTTGGCCATTCTTAGGGATCATAGACGATGCTTGGGGTCAGCTGTGTGCCTTATCTCCTATATGCTCTCTCCAGTCCCTGGTAAAAACTGACTTCTATTGTAGGTACAGGTCCGATCATTTACTTGAGAGGAAAGATATAATTCAAACATCTGTGAATTGGGGCTGGAGCGATAGCACAGCGGGTAGGACATTTACCTTGCACACAGCTGACCCAGGTTCCATTCCCAGCATTCCATATGGTCCCCCAAGTACCGCCAGGAGTGACTCCTGAGTGCAGAGCCAGGAGTAACCCCTGAGCATCACTGGGTGTGATCCAAAAAAACCAAAAAAAAAAAAAATCTGTGAATTATCGGGAAAAAGATGCAAGGTTTTTATAGGAAAATTTTCCTCTTTTAATAGGATAATTCTTCTCAAAGGGGGGAAAATTTCATCATTCTATTACATAAGACAGATGATAAAATCAGTATCGTGATTTTTTTTTTTTTTGGCAGGAGTGGGGATATCTCTCAGACAGTGCTTAGGGGTCTGAGGGCCCACTCCTGGTGATTGGTGATACTTAGCCAACCTTGCTGGCAGTTCTGTGCTGGGCCTGGGTATCAGGGACATCCAGGGCCACTGGAGCACTCACTGGAGGTCTCTCGGGCAAAATTTGGCGTTTCTATTTTGCTATGAATAATCATGATTTTCTTCAAATAATTGTATATCTCTTGATCTTTGTTTCTGTCTTTAGAGGCATTATAATTTGTATTCTTAGTCTAATGAAAAATTCCTTAGAAGTAATGTGTTTTGATTAGTCGTATTAACTCTTTTGGGTGATTTAGTATACTCAGTACTTGGGGAGTTCAGTTTGGGAACGCAGCAGTATTCAGAGACTGGCTCTGTATTCAGGAGGGACTCTGACTGTGCTCTGAGAACCACATGCAATGCCAGGTATCAAATTAGGGTTGGCTGAATGCAAGATAAATGTCCTGTCTCTTGTATTATCTCTAAGGTCCTGGCTTAGTACATTTTCCAATCATGCCTCTGCATAATAGAAAAAGAACCCAGACCTTTCAGAAAATATAATAATTTATATTTATAGCCATTTGACTGGCAATAACTAGGTAACATTTTATGGGAAACTCAGTCTGCATCTTTGAAAAAAAGATGGAAAGATGGTTCAAACATGCAGAGTCCTCACTATTGTATTATTTTAATTATTTTAATCCTAGTCAATTATAAAATAATGCCTGATATTTTAATTTACTTTTCTAAGACTGGAAAGATAATAATATAGCCTGGTTTAACTGTTTATGTGTATACATCTATATTTTTTTCCTGTATGTTCTCTGATAAGACCTTTAATGAAATATATCAATATGTATATATTATATGTGCATATATATGTGTATATATGTAATATATATATATATACTTAATTCTCACAGTTATTGTATGAAGTCAGTGGTAATATTCCCCCTGAAGATAGGTTCCTGGCATTGATAAGTAGAAAACTATGATTGAAATCTACTGGAATGTTTTTATTCTGACATTTTATCAAGGTTATAGTGATATGCATACCCCTGTAGATATCTACTTCCTTTATAAAGTTGCATTATCCTCTGGCTAACATAAAATCTAAGTCATGCATTCCTAGTAAATGCTATTGAGTTATTAAGAGTTGGACAGAATAGGTTAGACTAGTAAACTTTTCTACCACTCCACAAATTATTCAGTATATATATTTTCTTAATGTCAGGCTAAATGACATTTCTTAAAAATATTTATTGCTATACTTTTCCAAATATCTTTTAAAATTATCAGTAATTTTGCCATGTCTTCTGAGCTCTCAAACTTTGATTTCCTATTCACTTTCAGTGCTTGACCAGTGTCACTCAGAAGTATTTTGCTAGAATATATTAAATTGCCTTATGGCAATGTTAATGATTAGCCCTTATAATAATATGATCTAATGAAACTATTTCTTATGGTTTATATTTCAGTGCCAGTGATGCCTTAAAAGGAGAAGGATTGCAAGAAGGTGTAGACTGGCTTCAAGGTACATCACAAAATACTGTGCATCTTCAGCCGTAATTTCCTTTCCACTCATATTTTTGTTTTCTTTTTACATTTTTATTTTTATTATATCACTGCCTTTTTCCTTTTGTTTGCATTTATTTCTGCTCACAGAAAAAACAATACAGTAAGTACCTATGTTTATTTCTGTTATGTTTTTCTAAAGGATTTCTTTGCATCATAGACAACTTTAGAAGGTATTTTTAATTTATGGCCACAGACTTCTTTCAAATCTAGAAACAGAAGCACGGTTGTCATTTGTGACACATTTTATACCTTATTAACAAAAAGAAATGGGATTTTTTTGCATCTCTTGTGCCATACCCAGGTGTGCTCAGGAATTTCTCCTGGCTCTGTGCTTAGGGATCACTTCTGGCCACTTGGAGACCACCTGGAGTGCCTGGGATTGAACCCAGGTTAGCCACATGTAAGGCAGATGCCCTACTTGCTGTACTGTTATTCCATCCCTGGGGGGAAAATGTTTTAATGACACATAATCTCTAAAGAATCTTTATTTCATATATTGCTTCAATTTTTTTTTTGGACCCCTCTCAGGGTACCCCAGACCACAGGATGGTCAGGATCCTTTGGGCACATATAACAGCACCGGAAATTAAACTCAGGGACTCATGTTTGCCCAGAGTACTTCCTAAACCATTGATCCGTCTTCTGGCCCATTTCTCCTTGAAGACCCCTAATAATAGAGCTGTTGGGCTAGACTCAGCTCTTGTACTCAGTACCAGGCAAGTGTTTTTAAGCCCTAGATTCCAATACTTGGGGGTTATGACTGTCACATACTGAATATGAGGAAAACTTTGACAACAATAAATGGTTCCTGAATTCATAGTGATCAAAAATTAAATCAAGACCAATTCCATAATAAATCTAACATGTCTCTGACTACGCTGGCCCATGTTGCACTTCTTGGACTAAAAGGGATTGTGATGGCTAGAGAGATAGTACAATGGGCAAGGCACAAGGTACTTGCCTTGCATGTAGCTGACCCAGATTTGATCTCCAGCAACCCATATGGTCTCTGCAGCCCACTTGGAGAGATCCCTGAGTGCAGAGCCAGAAATAAGCCCTGAGTACTGCAGATGTGACCCAAAAACAAAAAATAAAAGGGACTGGAAGTAGAAAGTGTTTTAGAAGCCCTTAAGCCACTGAGCCATCTTTGCTGGCCCCTGTGTTCCCCGTTCTTACATACTGTTTATACAGCTTTTAATACTCATCTAGTATTATAAATTCTGCTATTCTGTTGATGTTTATATTTGCAGTTCTATTTGTTATTCACTTAAGAGCTATCATAAGTTGATACTGTACTGCTGTAATAGGAGATAAAATGTACCATTTACCCCAAGCCAATTCCTGAGCACAGAGCCAGGAATAAGTAAATCTTAAGCACTGCCAAGTGTGCTTTCCCTCCCATACCCACCCCACAAAAAAAAAAAAAAGCACATACAGTAATCCAAAAGAGCAATAGATGTGATTGAAACTGAGTTCCCTAGGCCTTTCTAATTAGATAGAACATCCTGAGTGTCAGGCTAAAATATTTCTAGTTGTGAGTAGAAAGTTAAGGTTCAATTCATTAGGAATCTACCAGCCCTGAACAAAGAACAGTAGCATATTTAAATTCTAGTCATAATTATGTGGCCATAAATTGTAGTTTCTTCCACACTTAACCTTGTAATGCCAGTTATGTCTGACCTTTTTTCCCTCTTATGCATGCTGGCAATAATACAAGGGATAGCATTTGTTGTGGTGGATCTAACAGTAGCCTACTTGCCTGTAGATAAGGAGATAAACTATTACTCTGATTGAAAGTACCGAACATAAATGTGGTTCAACATTCTTATGATTTATTGGTGAAATATGGCTTTGTAGTTAACAGATACATTCTATTCTTTTTCTGTTTTGTATTTATATAGCTAGGATGGCATTTATCATTAAACCTCAAATAACATTTTAGACATCTTTTACAATTTCAGTTAAGTAAAATATAGTTGTAAAATTCTACTAAAAAAGTTTTTTAGCACTAGTATAATTTTCCTGTGAAGCTAACGTGATACTTTATCTCGGTTTTTTTTTTCCCTACCATTAACTTGAAAAGATTAAATTAGTCTAAAAGAACTGGAGTCTTCTTGTTTATCATGCTAGGTAATTTCATAATTCTACAAGAAAAATGAGTTCTAAGTTCAGAAATTTTTCATAATTAGAGTTACAATTTTTAAAACTGGCTAAGTTAGCAATTTTAGATAGATGGATACTTCCATACATACATCTCCTTTATGCTTAATGTTATCTGTTTTGCAAAATGGGTTTTAATCTTTCTAAATCTAGAGTCAGTTAAAATCATTAGAGTGTAAACTACTCACTACTGTGAACAGAGGTTTAGAATGTGGTGAAAAATTGGCCAAAATTACGGGACAAATTCCCACATAAAACAACTTACATGAAAACATTTTAGAAGTGTATATTTTCCACTCTGGCTTATTTTTTATAAGTGCTTACCATTTCTGTCTGTGAAGGTAAAATGGGTGGAACCTCTAGTTAATAATAAAGTAGTTCAAAGCACAGTACTTGCAGAAAATAGTTGGTTGATAGTCATCTGGACTTGAAATTTATAGTTCTTGCCCCCTTTTATTTTTTTAACCTCTTGTAACAATGATGCCACTAGGTGTCAGTAATGACTCAACATCATAGTGATACTTGCCAACTTAATTGTCTACCTAAATTTTTCTCAAACTTTATCTTTGCATCTTACTTTTCAAGTTGTTCTTACTTATTTACTTTGTTACAAATACATCAGTACATTTATAGTTCCATATTATTTCTTTTAACCTTTAGAAAAATTCTCTGCAAGATGAGTAGTAATATCTAGTATCCCCATTTTATTTTAATAGCATGGAATAGTCGTAAAAAGCTCTAGGACTTTTAGGACTTTTAAGTCTCTGTTAACATAAACAGATTTAATTCATTACTAATTAAACAATTCATCTTATACTGTGAAGATAATTTTTCTCATTTTAAAAATTTTGTAATGTTCAAAATCATACTGATATGAAATTAAATATAAGTATAGAGCACAGGAAAGTACTTAATGCTGAGTTGACCTCCTTATCTAAGTGCTCTTATAACAGAGAAAGAAATAAAACTATACATAGCTTTAAAAGTGGGTCTTTTTGTTTTCAGATGGGTTAATGTTCCCTATATAGTTTACAATTTGAAGATTCTGATTGGATTTCTAGATGTCAAGACCTAATTGTATAATAGGTAACAGTAAATATAGGAGATCAGTCTATACATATAACTCTTATTAAGCAAAAGATTTTATGTAAATTTAGCTGTGGAAGATTTTCTGTGCTTATATCTGTTTATTTTGCTTCCAGGATCATGAAATTACTAACATGTTAAAGAAGGACTCTGAATTATTTTGACCTGATTTAATCCTTTGAAATTTCAAGTTGAAAATTTAGAATTAAAAATAACTGGTACATTTTTATACTTTTGTGTGATGATTCCATTTTCTTTAAGAAGGATTGTCACTAATTACCTATGTATTATGGGCTGGAGTGATAGCACAACGGGTAGTGCGTTTGCCTTGCACTCAGCCAACCGAGGTTCAATTCTTCCATCCCTCTTGGAGAGCCCGGCAAGCTACCAAGAATATCCCGCCCGCACAGCAGAGACTGGCAAGCTCCCCGTGGCGTATTCAATATGCTAAAAACAGTAACAACAAGTCTCACAATGTCTGAGATGTTACTGGTACCCGCTTGAGCAAATCAGTGAACAGTGGGAGCACAGTGCTACAGTGCAGTGCTACCGGTGTATTATAGTCTCAAAAAAATGAAGAGACTATGAAGAAACTATAGAAAAGTTATTGCCAAGGCATAAATTGTTTTCTTGTTTTAAAGCTTTCAAAAGCAGTATTTATAAAATAAAATTTCTTATGGAACTAATGGAATGTTTATCTCATCTGCACACACAAAAAAGTTAATGAGACTTCAGGTTTTAATGTGTGAGTTATATAAACTATACATATATATATATGTTCCAATGAAAAATTTGGGGGTTGGGAATGTAGCTTGGTCGTAGAGCACATGCTTTGCATATATGATGTTCTGGGTTTGGTTCCTTATACCACAAGGAAAAAATAGTAGTTATGCAAGATTATTAAACACAGTTACTTCTGCTCATCAAACCTCATTAACAACAAAGGAACTTTTACAATAAAGACTTTAACCTGCAAAGGCAAAAAGAATGGGAGTGAAAATATGGAAATCAAATTTTGGAAGTTGGCTGTATGATGAATGTTGGATGATTTAACAGAACGAAGAAAGCTGGAATTCAGTCTAGTGCCAGGAAAAACTAGAAAGTATCATAATTACAGATTCCTTCCATACAATTTCCTCTATAGTTGGTGAAGATTGAAAATAAGGATGAAGTAGGGCTAAAAAGAGAATGTAGTTATTCCAAAAATGAACTGAATTGTGATGAAGATTGCCAAAATACAGCTGTGTGTGATAGTATTAAACTGAAAATGAGGAGTAACTGGACGTTTTCTAGTGAATATTATGACCCTTTTTTCTTTTTCTATATCTCTCAGAAAACAGTGCCAGTAATTGGGCAAGAGATAGGAAGGTTCATCTTAGAGAAATCAGACCATTCTAGGAGAAAAGACATAAATGGGGTTAACTATAAATCTCCATAGGAAATGGCCTTCTGAGAAGAACTACAATGAAGACCAGATTTGATCAGCCTCATGGACATCTTGAATATCCATTCAGCTTTAGAATATTCACTCAGATAAATACATAGATGGCAAAGGAGCACTAGGTTTTTGAGGACCAAAACATTATGAACATAAAACAGTTTTAAAAAGTATGTTGAATGAAATAGAAACTATTTAGGGAGATCCTAGAATGATAATGAAAGATCCCTTATGGAAAGAAAACTAAGCAAGCATAGGAACTTTGAAAGATTCTATTGGGAAGCATTCAAGAAACTGAAATTGATACACTGTATAATGAGCTTTGTTTATACATGTGGAAGTTGCAGGAATGAATTAGAATTAAGTATATTTTTTTAAAAAATTAAGTAGATGAGGTAGATTTGTGGGTGAGGAGCCATCATTAACTCAAGGACTAACAAAATGTGGAAAGGAAAAGTAAACAGCGAATAACACATGTCTTGGCATATTGATAATGGCATTACTGTGTTAGGAGATTGGGAAAACTATAAAAATTTATGAAGGTTTCTGTGTGAGAAATCAGGCTTAACAATTACATTAAAGGAACTAATAGTTAAAGACATAATAATAAAAAGTATTATTTAGACATAAACAATCCCTAAGTGGGAAGACCTAGTTGCTATAAGGAAAAGAGGAGCTGAAATAAGAGTCTGATAATTTTAGTACAGACATTATAGGATAAATAACTCTGTGTTCAGATAAAAATTAAACAGAAACTTAAATTATAGTCTGAAATTGTGATGTTAAAAAAAAAAGACATGCAACGGATCCTATTAACGTCTTACAGATTTGTCTTGGATTCTCTGTCACTGTCCTCCTGTTGTTCATCGATTTGCTCGAGCAGTCCCAGTAACATCTCCATTGTAACAATTGTTACTGTGTTTGGCATATTGAATACCTCACAGGTAGCTTGCCATGCTTTGCCATGCAGGCGAGATACTCTGGGTAGCTTGCCGGGCTCTCTGAGAGGGGCGGAGGAATCGAACTCGGGTCGGCCATGTTGGCTGCGTGCAAGGCAAATGCCCTACCCGCTGTGCTATGACTCCAGCCCTGTCTTGGGTTACTTTAGAAAATAGATTTTTGCCCTATAGAGACTGATAACTTTTTGTTTGTTTCTTTTTATTATTAGATCAGATCCAGGCTGTGAAGACATGAAAAGATAGTGCTTGGAAACGTCAACAATTTTCACTTCAAGGAGTATATTTGAAGAAAACTAAATATATTTATATTTTTTAAAAGAATTTGTGCATCTAAGAATACTTTATAATCTTCTGTTCGCATTTATGTATTCTGAAGTTTTTTTTTAAGAACATAGAATTTCCCATTTGCTAATCTGACCATTTATTATATAAAAACTAAATTTGTCTTCTGAAGACCGCCAGACTTATCAACTTCTTGATGAAAATCAATATTTGATTGTAATTGTAATATTTAAAAGTCAGAGTTATAAAGGATCTCATTATATCATAATAATTTATCATATATTTTATACATTTTATTTTTTAAATTGCCTTTAAACATTTAGTATCTAAGACTGTACAGGATAATTATGCTTATAAAAAGGAACTTTCAATATTTATAAAGGACTGTGGATAAATAATATATATTAAATTTTCACATATGTGACCATCAATAAAATATTAAATGTACCAGTGTGATTTGTTTATGTCAAAAAGAATAATGCCATTTAAATCAAATATTCATCATCTTACTGTTAAGTACTTGAAAATTATCTGAGGTCAAGTTAGGCTGAATGTATTTACTCAGTGAATGTGTCACTGTCACTGTCCTCCCATTCATCAATTTGCTCGAGCAGGCCCAGTAACATTGTGAGACTTATTGTTGCTGTCTTTAGCGTATCAGATACGTCACGGGTAGCTTGCCAGGCTTTGCCGTGCGGGCGAGAATCTCCCAGTAGCTTGCCAGGCTCTCCAAGAGGGGCAGAGGAATTGAACCTGGGTCGGCCGGCTCAGCTGCGTGCAAGGCAAACACCCTACCCTCTGCACTATTGAAATACATTTAAACCAACAATTTATCCTAAACATTATGACACAAAGTAAATAAGATATATTCCTTATCCTCAGAGAAGTTAAATTTTTCTAATGAGGGAGCATGTGAGAACCTTTCGTTCCTATTTGATATTCATTAGCTGAGTGAAAATACATCTTTAGATTAAGGGGTGTAAGATGTGATGCTTTAATAACTTATTGTACTTCTTGATTCTTCAGAATTCCAGTTTATAATAATACTGTTAAAATGTGTTCCATCAAAATTGTTTTTTTCTAATCATATATACACTGTTACATAAATGTTCTTTAGAAATTTAGATATCTTGGAGTCCACCTTATGCAAATAGTGCTATTTTTCATAAAAGACTACTTATAATTGAGAACTATAATAGAAACATGATGCCAATCTTAAAATATATTGTATATAAGGAATTTATATTATATTACAGTTTCAAACATAAATCTGAAAATAATAACAGGAGATAAGTAGGGTACATTGTAATAAATTCAATAGTGGCATATTTCCCAGAGATTTAGCTCAATTTGAATTAGTTTTAAAACTAGAGTAAAACATCTGTAAACCAGTTTCTTATCTTCCAGAAATCCTTCCAGTTGTTAAGTGGTTTGATTGAATGTTATAAAAAAATATATTCCAGTGTCCAGTGTTTTAGCCAGCTTGCCAGTTTATCATTAATTCTTCTTATGCAGACAGAGTAAGAATCAGAATCAATCTAGGATTTCCTCAAATATGCAAAAGACCAGTGGTAAAAGTACTAAGTGTGACTATATGATTTAACAAAAAAACGTGTGTTGTAACTATTCTAGGAAGGTGAAGAAAGAAATGTTTAAGATAATTATTAATCCTCATTTTCCGGACCAGAGAAATAGTATAATGGGTAAGGTGCTTGCCTCACATGCAGTCAAAGTTCAGTGTCACCTCTGCATATGGTTCCTCCAGCCTCACTTGGAGAGGCTCCCTGAGCACAGAGCCAGGAGTAAATGCTGAACACAGCCAGATTTGGTCCAAGAACAAGCAAAATAATCTAACATAAAAGTAGCAAGTATTCTTGCTTGCTTTTCTTTTCACTTTTTTTTTTCTTTTTGGTCTTGGAGACACATCTTGTTGTTCTCAGGTCTTAGTCCTGGCTCTGCACTTAGGGATCACTCTTGGTAGATCTAAGGGGACCATATGGCCTGCCAGGTATCAAACCTGGGATGAACGTGTGCAGGTCAAGTGCTTTACCCACTGTGCCCTCTCTTCAACCCCTCAATAATCATTTCTTTCACTAGATGGTCATTTTCCTGAGCAAGACATCACACGTATGAAATTTTGTCTCATTTAATCTTCATAGTAATGCTTTGCAGTACGTTCAAATATTTATGCTTTTTATGGAGAAGGAAACAGGTTTAAAAAATTATTTTGTGAAATTCACAGATGTAGTAAATGGACATACTGGGAACCAGAACAGTTTACTTAAAATAGATAAATCAGAGAATATAATATTACAGGTACTAGAAATATGGAGATTTTATGCCATAAGAGAAGCTATAAAGGAACTGACAATTATCACTGGGTAGAGAGAAACATGGAAGGCTCAGAGATGAGGAACTAGTATTTTCTATTTTTGACTTGTTTTAGGGCTTTTAGTACTATCTTGATTTTAAACAATATAAATCACTCGAGGAAGGTAATTTTTAAAATTATGTTAATATTAAATTAGTATTCCACAAACTACAGTAATATATGTCTAATCAAATATTGAGAAGGAAGAGAAATACTGACTTTCCCCCTTTATTTTCATAATCTCCAAGTGCAATTTACAGGCTATGCATATTCCTACTCTTCATTGTCTTAAAGATTTGTGAGAAACCCTAACATGAAACCTTGTAACTATCTCATGGTGATTCAGTAAAATTAAAGAAAAAAAAAGATTTGTGAGAATAAATTGGACCATAGTTGTCTTAGTATGCATATCATTTAGTAATAGGTTTTTTTAAAATTTGGTTAGAAATATGATAGTCTAGTAACAGTAAGGACTGGAGTGGTAGCACAGCGATAGGGCATTTGCCTTGCGCACAACCAGCCCGGCCAAGCCAGGTTTGATTCCTCTCGAAGAGCCTGGCAAGCTACTGAGAATATCTCACCTGCACGGCAAAGCCTGGCAAGCTACCTGTGATATATTCAATATGCCAAACACAGTAACAAGTCTCACGATGGAGATGTTACTGGGCCCGCTCCAGCAAATCGATGAACAGGAGGACAGTGCTACAGTGCTACAGTAACAGTAATAATAATCCTTTGTATAGCTTTTGCTATGTACTAGGTACTTTCAAAGCACTTCATCTATATTAATTTATTTAATCCTAATAACAGTTCTATCAGGTATAAGCTATTATTATCTTCGTTATGTAGAACAGTGGTCAGCATAGTGCATTTTGTTTACTTATGGCCTTAAGTACTAATAATTTAACATTTTTAAAGGGTTATGAGATTGAAATAATCAACAATGAGGGAGCAACATATAAGCCACAGACCACATAGTCAAAAATTATTTTTACCCATCTGGCACTTTATTAATCACTCTACTGTTACAGATGATATCATAGATGATCTTGTTCAGAGGGTGAAAGTAAAGCAAGAAAAGTAATTTGCCTAAGGTCATATTACAAACAAGTGAAGAGCCCTGGATTTTGAGATTAGACAATCTGGCTCCTAAATCTGCTCTCTTAACCTCTACAAGGCTTCTCAAAAAAGCTAAAGATTATCCAAAAATGGGATAAAACATTGATATTTCTTAGATAATTATTTTAAAAATAAAGAAATGCAAGTGACTAAAAAGTGAAACTCTTTATTGCCCAGTAAATTTAATGCCATGGTCTTCCTTGTCTTTAAGTGAGCGGCAACAGCTGAGGCAGATTCTGAAACATCAGCAATGTGATATTTTAAAGGAAAATCTAACAGAACGGTTTTCCCAGGCATTTGGCTTGGACTTCAGATTTTCCAATGATTTTTTTAAACAGTTTTTTTAAGGGCTGATGATAATCTTGATATATATGTGGTAAGACATATTCACTTTGTGGATATGCATTTTAGTGACTACAAATAAAAGTGGTATATACGAACAGTGGAATCCTACACAGTTATAAGAAATAATGAAATCATGCAATTTGCTGCAACATTGATGGAACTGGAAGATACCATGTTAAGTAAGCAGAAAAACAAGGATAAGCAGGATCATATCATTTATATGTGGTATTGAGAGTAACTGTATGAGGAAATGCAGTGGTTTAAAGGGGGATGCCTGGATCACCCTTAGTTCCAAAACAACAGAGGACGTGGATCAAGGTACATTAGTGGTGTTAAGAAATGATAGATCTACCACACTCCAGTCACCATCATGCTCACAGCTGGACTCCACAGGCTCTGGAGAAGCCTCATCAAGGAATGAATCTGTAGAAAAACTCACGTATGTGGGTTTTGTGACTAAAATCTCCAGTCACGTGAAGTTGGGGGTGGGCTACCTTCCCCCATCTCCCTGTTCTTCCAGGAACCTGGCAGTCACGCCTATGAACTTCCTCTAGCACTATATATAAGCTCACTAACTGGCCATCATTCAGAGACTCATCTCGAAGGAGATCAACAAGCTGCAGAGATGCCTCCAGACCCCACACCAGACTGAGTCTTATATCCAGAGCACCCTGGAGTGAGGCGGGTGAGCCCACCACTTCCCCAAACAACCCCAGCAATGGAAAGCCTCTACACTCCAATATCCACCATGCTCAAGGCAGGAGGATTTCACAGGCTCAGGACTTGCCTCATCCAGGAATCAATCTTTTGAAAAACTCAGGTAATCAGGTGTTGTGACCACAATCTTCAGTATCTCACTGAGTCGGGGATGGGCTACCTTCCCCTATTTCCCTGTTCTTCCAGAAGCCTGATGGTCACACCCATGAACTACCTCTGGTGCTATATAAGCTCATTAACTGGTCATGATCCAGAGGCTCATAAGTAAATCTTAAAAGAGATCAACAAGCTGTAGAGATGCTTCTGGACCCCAAAGTTACCATCCAGTTAGAAATTTAATTCCAGCTTTATCACCCCATTCAAAATTTTAGAATTCCTGGAGTGTGTGGCCATATTTGCAAACGCATGACATCTCAAACTCTACACCACCACTCATACACCAGGAGTAGCACACCATACTGGATGGGATGTAAAGTGGAAGACAACCGTTCTCGATTAAGAAAATCTTAACACACAAGACTTAATCTGTAACAGCATATTAGTAATCTCTTATCAAGGGCTTAGTGGCTTCAGGGTGAAATACAACAATCTTCAAACTCTTCTAAGGAAATCTTCTTTGTTCGCTTTTAGCAAACTATTCATAACAATATAAAATAAATTAAGACTTGCTATTGTGGCAAGCTTGTGTGGTGGTTGGTAAAATTGGAAATAATAGTGGTGGGAAGGTGTAATGGTGGTGAAATTGGTATTGGAGTATTGAACTTAATAAACCATCATGAACAACTTTACAAAAATAAAATTAAAAATTAAAAAACAGAAATGATCGATAGGGCTAAATATCCAAACCACAGAGTCAATAACATTGAAATCATGAGAACCAAACTTGAATAACCAA